CTTTAATTTCAGGGTATTTACATCAAAATCAGGTGAACGGTGTAGGAATTACGACAGTTTGCATATGTGTCTCCCACTTGTTAAGGGACCAAAAGTAATGGGACAGAATAATAATCATAAATCAAACTTTCACTTTTTAATACTTGGTTGCAAATCCTTTGCAATCAATTACAGCCTGAAGTCTAGAACACATAGACATCACCAGACGCTGGGTTTCATCGCTGGTGATGCTCTGCCAGGCCTCTACTGCAACTGTCTTCAGTTCCTGCTTGTTCTTGGGGCATTTTCCCTTCAGTTTTGTCTTCAGCAAGTGAAATGCATGCTCAATCGGATTCAGGTCAGGTGATTGACTTGGCCATTGCATAACATTCCACTTCTTTCCCTTAAAACTCTTTGGTTGCTTTTGCAGTATGCTTTGGGTCATTGTCCATCTGCACTGTGAAGCGGCGTCCAATGAGTTGTGAAGCATTTGGCTGAATATGAGCAGATAATATTCCCGAAACACTTCAGAATTCATCCTGCTGCTTTTGTCAGCAGTAACATCATCAATAAATACAAGAGAACCAGTTCCATTGGCAGCCATACATGCCCACGCCATGACACTACCACCACCATGCTTCACTGATGAGGTGGTATGCTTAGGATCATGAGCAGTTCCTTTCCTTCTTCATATTCTTCTCTTCCCATCACTCTGGTACAAGTTGATCTCGGTCTCATCTGTCCATAGGATGTTGTTCCAGAACTGTGAAGGCTTTTTTAGATGTTTTTTTGGCAAACTCTAATCTGGCCTTCCTGTTTTTGAGGCTCACCAATGGTTTACATCTTGTGGTGAACCCTCTGTATTCACTCTGGTGAAGTCTTCTCTTGATTGTTGACTTTGACACACATACACCTACCTCCTGGAGAGTGTTCTTGATCTGGTCAACTGTTGTGAAGGGTGTTTTCTTCACCAGGGAAAGAATTCTTCGTTCATCCACCACAGTTGTTTTCCGTGGTCTTCCGGGTCTTTTGGTGTTGCTGAGCTCACCAGTGCATTCCTTCTTTTTAAGAATGTTCCAAACAGTTGTTTTGGCCACGCCTAATGTTGTTGCTATCTCTCTGATGGGTTTGTTTTGTTTTTTCAGCCTAATGATGGCTTGCTTCATGATAGTGACAGTAATTTGGATCTCATCTTGAGAGTTGACAGCAACAGATTCCAAATGCAAATAGCACACTTGAAATGAACTCTGGACCTTTTATCTGCTCATTGTAATTGGGATAATGAGGGAGTAACACACACCTGGCCATGGAACAGTTGAGAAGCCAATTGTCCCATTACTTTTGGTCCCCTTAACAAGTGGGAGGCACATATGCAAACTGTTGTAATTCCTACACCGTTCACCTGATTTGGATGTAAATACCGTCAAATTAAAGCTGACAGTCTGCAGTTAAAGCACATCTTGTTCGTTTCATTTCAAATCCATTGTGGTGGTGTATAGAGCCAAAAATGTTAGAATTGTGTCGATGTCCCAATATTTATGGACCTGACTGTACTTCTGAGTGTTTTTAAAGTGCTGAGCCCAAATACAAGATGCTATTTATTGTGCTGCATAAACAAAACTGCCATTATTCTATGTATTAGAGGCATCTGAAAACATTACTATATATAGGACCCTTTCACACTGCTGGCCCGATCGGGTCCGCCTGTCAGTTTTTCAGGTTGACCCGAATGGACAATCCATAGACCCCTATGGACTGGCGAGTGAATACTGACACCTGCCAGCATCCAAACCGATCCTGTATGCCAAAAACAGACAGATGGGGCTATTCTCCATATGTCCGATGGATCAGATGACAGTCGGGTGGAAATGGACAGGTGGTCAGTTTACATCCGAACACCCCATTGAAAAAGTAGACAGTGTCTGTGTCTGCTCTGCAGCAGCGGAGCAGACACAGACCTGTCATCTGCTTGCTCAGCAGGGATCAGAGGAGAGATCCGCCACTGAGCAAAGGGATCTGCTGGCGGATTCGCCCCATTTTAAGGGGCCTTACAGTATATAGCAGACTTTCTCAACACAGAGGAACCCTTGAAATAACTTTCCAGTCTCAGGAAACTCCTGTTAAAATATTACTATATCTACAACTCATCATACATTAGTGTGATGGTCAGTGGGAAGTGTGCTACTTATACTTGTGGTCATTGGGAAGAATGAACCCCTTAACAAATAGCTAAAACATCAATGATGTCAATGGGAAATTATCTGCGAGGCAAAAATTGCTCATTGCTCAAGGAACCCCTAGGAACTTTGGGAGGAACTCTAAGGTTCCATGGAATCCTGGTTGCGAAACCCTGGCATAGAGCATAAATATCCTCCTTATTCTTGGCAATAGTATATGACCCCCACCTCGAACACACACACACATACATACAGTATATCAAAGGAGTGCATTGGGGATGATTGTTCTTGCTCCCATTCTCACTGTCTCTAAAGTACCTTCTTATCATTTTTATACTTTCAGTGTCCTAAAAAAATAGAAGTAAACTAATGTTTGGTTTCTAGAGGCAATTGAACCTTTGCTAACTGTTTTGATTCATATGCGACTGTACCATTGGTTTAAGTCTTAGAAGTAAAAATAATTTATGTCTGTTTATCTGTGATCATATATGAGTAGTCATAAATCACAGCAGAGCTTACTCATACAAGGTTTTATGGGCCCAAGCCTGTAGATATACTTTATTTAATATGATATTTTTTCTAGTCCCTGAAACACCACCTATGATCAGAGAATGCAAGAACCTAACGTCTACTTCAGTCTTGTTATCGTGGGATCCTCCAGAATGTCCAAACGGTATTATAACTGGTTACTACTTACAGATTTATGGACCACAGGGAAACAAGTCTTTTCCAGATACTATGCAAGTCTCCATCACTTTAAAGGATCTTGAACCATTTACCCAGTATTTTATCTTTGTTGCTGCAAGAACAATAAAAGGAACGGGTCCTTCTCTCTCCAGCTTCCATTTCTCACAGATGAAGCAGGTAATTGTCTTATGACATATTTGTGCTAAATTAAAATCATCAGAAAAGTGATCCTTCATAATCCTCTACATGTTTCCAGTTTCACCGTCTTTGTCTTATTTCTCATGTTTCTTCTTGAATTATTACATTTCTCTAACAAGGTCAAAGCTGTGCATGATATGTTCTTCTTTGGTGCTTAAATTTCATTGCTTTGACAGGTTTAGCTATGTTACAAAAACTGTACTTACAGTGGTGGCATTTTATTATTTTATCCTCTGCCACTTGACCGAAAGTCACAATGAGAGCAGAGTAGTTTGACATTTTGTCATGAAAAGATTATTTAATTATGCCCTGTGGTATAGTTCATTGTGGTTTTATCCTAAATGCATTGCTGATCTAAAAAGATTGTTACATATCTGAATACTTTTCTGCTTTTTTTTCCTTATAGAAACATGTTTTTGTTTATTTGTTTATCATTACTGTTTTATCTTTATATCAAATCAGTTTGCTAACATGTAAATCACATAGTCTACTTTTCCTGTACATGGGAAAAAAAAAATTAGATGTTGTTGGTGATAAAGTTCAGTGCTAAATTGTGGCTTTTCATGGTATTATTTATTTATCAAAAAACTGTATATATTCCTTATCATATACACTGTATACTGTATATATTCATTGAACCATTGATTAGTCTAGGAGGAATGTAATATTGAAAATTATTTACCTTATTCCTCAATCCTGAAGGCTTTCTTCCCATTGCTTCTCCCTGCATAGTCATGTGCTCTTCCCTTTGACATCAATATTACATAATGGAAGAGCAGTGGCCACCACTAGTCCTGGATTATCTGTGATGATGACCGGAGTTCAACTTTAAGCGCCGCCTGACAATAAAGAAAAAAATTGTAGTGGCTTTCTAGTGAGGCCTATTCTCATCTGTGTGCTGTGTTAATGAGCATTTTTTGGGTTTTTTTTTTGTGCAACAGCATACGGCTGCCCATTCACTTGAATTGGCTACCCTAAGCACAACAAATGATGACCATGTTTGGGTTGCCATTCACAATTAATGGCACCACAAGTGCAATGCATGTTTGTGACTTGTTATTCTGCTCATTCAAGGAACATGTGCATAATCGTGCATTTCTGCTCATGTTCCTAGAATGTGCAGGTGTGAATGGGGTCTTAATGAAAGTAGGGTGATGTCTGTAAGAGTAATAAATACTGTAAGTGTTACACACAGGAAAAACATGAACACAGTACTAGGGTTACTTTAAATCCTTTCTTAGCCATGCACTTTTGCACAGCTAAATACAGTATCGAAATGTCTACATACTGTATGAACTGTCTTACTGTCTGACCTGATGAAGGACGTCTGTTCAGCTTCAACGTATCTTGTGATCTAAAAACCTCTGGCTCAGCATAGTCTGGATCTGGACCATCATAGTGTAGTCCTGAACCTCTGCTGCTGTAAGAAATTACAGCTTGGTCCAGGATTCACATAAAGCTTATTGATAGGACATTGATGGGTCACCACTTTTACCCTTCTTGCTTTCAGGATATGCTACATTCGGCTTGAATTTCAGCCCATACCCACCGAATTGATCAAAATCCAAGCTGTGAGTTGCCCTGTTGGCACCATTCAGTTAGACAAACTTTGATTGAAAGTCATGTATGGCTAGCCTTAGACAGCATTTTTACTCCAGTTAGGTTGAGCAAGAAATCACAGGAAGCTCATACTATAACAAAATCAAAATGACAAAATCAAGTATTCCTACCAGTTGCATTTAAAAATGCATTTAATGATTTTTTTTATGTGAACATAAGTGCAATCATTGTTGGTTTTCAAACCTATCTGGACATCCACTTTACATAATCTTTTTTAAATATTATATTTATATATATATTTATATATGATATTTCAAAAATCACTGCAAACAGTACACCGTTTGCATTACAGAGCCATCAGTACCTCCTTACAATCTGACTTTCATCAATGCAAGTGACAGCTCTGCTTGGTTGCAGTGGAGGCCTAGTCCAAGACCTAATGGTATTGTGCACACGTACAACTTTAAAATTATGGAAAACAGCAGTCAATCTATATTTTACCAGGTAAGTATATCCATAACGTAGGAAATATTAAACAATTGCTATAGATGACTTAAATTTTATGTAAAATCAAAATGTTTTCTTTAGTTAATGAATTAGTCTTTTAATTTAGAATAGCATGGAGAAGGGTTTGGCTCTCTGTCAACTTTTCTTGCTGCTGGGTATATTCACCTCTCTATTTGTCTGAAACAGAAAGTGGGGGAGAATCCAACATTTTTGAGTTGTCACCAAAGCAGAAGGTAAGGGGAATTCATCCAGTGGGGACAAATGTTCTGGTGACAACTGTCTAAGAGAGGAATTGCCCTCACTTCCTCACTTTCCTCCACTTTCCTTTTGCATCTTAGAACAAAAGGAAAATCTCCCCAGGATAATGGCAGCAAAATAACTTAATAGGGGGTTTAATCCTTCCCTAGCCAAAAATGTTTTGGCTCTACATACACTTAAATTACAATGTTTTAGATAGGCAGTATTCTTAGTGGTGCTTTCCATATAAAAAGCACATGAACACTATTACATCTTTTGCTTGAAAAATCACAAAAGATGAGTTGGTTCCATCCAATTGCCTCTAATCCATTTCAATTACGCTATCTGATTATAACATGGAAATCTATACATCTATATATACATGCTGTATACCGTTATGTAGAAACAGTAAGTAGATGTACAGAACAGTAATATACAAAAAAACTTGCAGTAATGGTTTTGAGGTTGAATTTTGAAGCCTGGAATTACATATGTAGACCTATGCACTATGTAGACCTGAATAATAAAATTCTATTGTACAAGCTCCTCCCACTATGTCATATGATTATGACCCACACATGCCGTTAGAGTAAATTTGACTTAGGTAGTCCTCATATTAAAAAGACTGTTTTTTTGCCTCCTAGAATATATCAGGTGCTCAGACAGAAGGAAAGCTTATTAATCTGGACCCATTTAAGACCTATGCAGCCAGTGTATCTGCTTTTACAAAAGCAGGGAATGGGAATCAATTCAGCAATACTATTCAGTTCACAACACAAGAGTCAGGTATGTATGAGTCTATATATATTAAAATGTTGTATATGTATCATTGTCCGGACTACTTTTCACTGATGTTTTTATAATAATCTGCTATTTATAAGTGATAGGTGATTCAATATGTGACTATAAAATCTATATATTTCTTAAAAGCCCCAGACTCAGTCCAGAACATGCGTTGTGTGGCAACAAGTTGGCAGTCCATCTTAGTTCAGTGGGATCCACCAGCTCGCCCGAATGGAAAAATAATTCAGTATGTCCTAAAATTTCAAAATCTTGCTACCTTTGTCCTCGAAACTGATAATGCCTACACCTTCAGGGATCTACTATCCAATACCACATACAGCTTCTTTATTCAAGCTGCAAATTCTGCTGGGGAAGGAAAGGAGGAGACATGCAATGCAACAACAAAGTCAGAAGAAGGTACTGTATGTTAATTGACATGAAAATTAAGAGCTGTACGAATATGAAATGTTAATGCTTGTTTAAAATAATAGTCCTTATATTGTATGCTTGCTTTGATTTTTCAGGAAATGGTGTCAGCAATGATTGCCCCTATGTTTAACTCGTGACAGATTTCCTCTAAATGTCATCAAAACCTTTACCTTGTTGCTGAGTAAGAAATAGGACTTTGCCTACTAGGTTCCTGTTTCCCTACTTAGGTTGGTAATTGTAGTTCATGCAAACATGTTAACATTTTTTTGCATCAGCACTTAATTTTCAACTTCATCAAGTCATCAAGTCTGGAAGTGAAATATCTCCAAGAAGAGAGGCAGCATTTAAATATTTATAGTAGAGTTTATAGGGATTAGAACCATTGTCCGGTTTTTTAGTTGTCTTTGGCCCCACTAGAGATATTTCCTTCATTTCCTGTCCCAGCAACTCTGCAAACCAGTAGGGACCCAGAAAACAATAAAAATCTGAGAGGATCTTACCCTTACCCACTCTTTGAAAAACTAATGTTTTGGGCTAGAGTTACACATTAAACGTATTATAAAGAGCAAACAATCCTTCTAAAACTGAGCTCATAATTTTCCCTCCAGCTTATGCCCCCTCCCCTGACTTCTCCATCAAGATCAATAATACAACTATCAGTCCCTCCCCTCATGCCAGGGTACTCCAAGACTCCGATCTGTCCTTTCAGCCCAAAATCCAATCATTGTCCAAATCTTGTAGACTTCACCTCCATAACATCTCCAAAAGATGCCCCTTTTTAACCATTGAAACCACTAAGCAACTTATTCACTCCCTTTGTTATCTCTTACCTTGACTATTGAAACTCCCTCCTTATTGGCCTACCTAATCACAGGCTATCCCCTCTTCAGTCTATCATGAATGCTGCTGCCAGACTCATCCACCTTACTAACCGTTCCATATCTGCCAATCCCTCCACTGGCTTCCCATTGCCCAACGAGTAAAATTAAAAACATTAACAATAACATATAAAGCCATTTACAGCTGTGCCCCAAATTACATCACCAATCTTGTCTCCAAATATCATCCAAACCATCCTCTCCATTCCTCCCAAGACCTCCCCAGCTCCCTTGTCTCCTCCTCTCATGCTCGTCTCCAAGACTTCTCCAGAGCCTCTCCCATTCTCTGGAACTCTCTACCCCAATCTGTCCAACTATCGCCTACTATGTCCAATTTTAGGTGATTCCTGAAAATCTATCTCTTCAGGGAAGCGTATCCTGCCTTCGGTTAATAACCAAATCTTCTATTTCTCCTATTAGTTCATCCCCCACAGTTATTACCTTTTGTTCCACCAGCCCCTCCCTTTTAGATTGTAAGCTCCCAAGAGCAGGGCCCTCTTAGCCCTTTTATATTGAACTGTATTGCTGCTGTATTGTCTCCCCTTATACTGTAAAATGCTGAGCAAACTGTGGGTGCTATATAAACCCTGTGTAATAATAATAACATTCACTCTGTATTATCAAAATGATAATAAAAATGATAATAAAAATGGAGCCCTTCAGAAAACAAGGAAGGCAAAAGTTTCCACCGACACATTAATGTTTGGGCAATAAAAGCTACATGTATATCAAACCAAAACCCTTGAATACTAAAATAATCTGGATGTTTCATTATTCAAAACAATTTCACTTTTATGTTCATAAAATCAGACATTTTGTTCTGTGCTTAGTAGAGACTTTGGGGTTCATTTACTAAAACTAGAGAGTGCAAAATATGGTGCAGCTCAACATAGAAACCAGCTTACTTTTTTTTTCTCAAAGCTCAATTGATCAATCTAGAAGCTGATTGGCTACCATGCACAGCTTCACCAGATTTTGCACTCTCTAGTTTTAGTAAATCAACCCCTTTGTCTCTCTTCATGATCTCCAGAGGTACAATGTCCAGTTGTGCTGTCGAAACAGTGGATTAATGAACACATTTATGTTGTTATGTATCAGTATACATAAATACAGATTTAAAAACAAATGCAATATCAGAGTTAAGGTTTTGATTCTTTCGAATTGGAAATCATTTTATAGCTCCTGTCAGCATTTTTATTAATGGTGTTCTGGCATTAGTCATGGTTAGAGAGCCAGCACTGAGTCATTGACAGTACATTTATTTTTGACACAAGGTGAAATCAGATTAGCTTCACTGTCTCACTACAGAGTGTCTGGCTAACATTACTTGTAGTTTTTATTTAATAATGCTATATATGGCACTAAAATACCCTTGAACACTAGTATTAAATGACATGTCCTATATTGCAGGCAAGCAAAAAGTAGTACTATACATTATGTGGAATTTGTAAGGTTTCATGCAGATTTTTTATGTTGTACATATTTAATATGAGGCCAGCACAGTAGAAACCTCTCTTCATTACTGTGGTGTTGTGATGCAGTGACTCATTATTGCTCTATCACCACTTGAACACTTATAGATGTGACTTAGATGTAGCCAAAGGGCTTTACAGGAGCGTAAGTGACAAACTGACCAATAAAAATTAAAAGAAAAATAGTAGTCTTGGCAGTTTACTAGAGTGTATCCACACCTTGGCGTCTTCATTATTATCTATTGTGAACTGTTTCTCTCCTACTTGGCTCTTGCCATTCTCTTTTTTTTTTTTTTTTCACAAACAAGTGACAGAAAATAAATAGGGCATATAATGTTCATGTGCACACACCTGGGACATCCTTGCTTTTTTTCTCTTTTTTTCCCAGTTATGTTTGCATCTTCTGCATAATGTTAAAAATGAGATACAATTAAGGACAAGTCTAACATATTCCATTGTGAACTAGGCATATAATAGATGACATTTCCTTTTGAGGAATACAGAATGATAGTGGATCAGATACAGAATTACATAATGTAAATCATACTCCAAACGCTGGGCCACATGTGCATGCTGCTTTACAGAGAAATGGAATCTTTGTAATACTGAGTGCAGCTTAACTGTCAAACGTGCTGTGATACAAATTTGACTATGGTAAAGTTATATGATAAATTTAGAGGCATTGTTTTGTGATGTTATGCAATTGATCACTAAGTGAATCAAAAGCAATGGTCAAAGTGTACAGTCTACAATTTGCAATCAGCCTCTATTCTGGTAAAGTGCACAAGCCATAGTACAACTGTATATATTAAAGGACATCTGTGTTAAGAATACAAGTGTCTTTCCATTAGCTGACTTTGTTGACATATGATATGCAATTGTCACTACTGGTAATACAAGCCAAAAGGAATTACATTTCTAAAGGATGATCATATGTTAGTGAATAAAAGCAAGCAATGTAACCAAAGAGGGCATCACTTACTACAATATGGACCTGTATGCACTGCACTTCTGATCATCAGAAAGCAAAATAGTCCAAGAAGCGAGAAAACCTTCTCTGAATCACATGTATTAATAGATAGAATTGGGATGAATATTCTGTTCACTCATTTCATTTAAGGATAGTACGATGTCTGTTCACAGTTTTAGCCATGCACACAAAGAAATATACTTCTAATTTACATAGTGACATTATTTTGTCTTGGGAAAGGGTCCCTTTGTGGCCCTGAAACCTTGGGTTTTGCCTTGTAAGAACATGATTTCCCTTTGCATGACTATTGGACATTGATTGGTGCCATGGTGCCATTTGCTTGGCTGTTTGAAGCACCCACATATACTTATGCTGGTTACACAAAGTATGGAGAGAAGCCTAAATTCAGTAATTCACAGTGAGACATGAGTCAGCCTCTCCATGGTCACCTGTGGTGCCAAACTTCATAAAACATGACATGACTACATTCATATAAAGTAAAATGTTACTTATAGATATTAGAGTTGAGTTAGATGTTTGTCTGGACATTCAAACTATGTTATATTTAAGAAAGATATTGTGATATGTATGGATAAACTATTTTATGATCAAACACAAAAGTATTAAGGCTGCAAATTATGTAAACGTCTAGGACAGAATGCCTAAAACAATAGGACCAGGCCTCCACTTTTCTGCTCCAGAAATGCAAGTGCCTCCCTAATTTACACCTTGCCATTGTGATATTGCTTGTTTTTTTATTACTGTAGTCTTTGTTAGTTCTAATACTGTGTCTGAGTGATGCATACTACAACTAATGATCTGAGAATTGCGACTACTGGAAGTAAAGTCAATTGAAACTGTCAGCTTACATTGTCTAAGTCTTGTAGTTCAGTTTCATTAGAAAGTAGCCATGGCCTGATTTGAAAAGCTTCTTGAATTGGACTTATAACTCTGCAGTCATCAAAGCTCATGCTCACTGCTGATTGGGAAGCTCTAGTTCTGACATAACAGGGGGCATGTGAGACCTCTGCAATGAGACTACTGTTTCATTGCAGGGAATCTACAGGCTGTTCTTTTTGTTTTTTCCACTCTGCTGTAGCAATGTTTTCAAGAAAAATGAACTGTAAGATTTTGCACATCTCTTGCTTTGATACACACGAAATATGTTTAGCTGATTTAAACTGAAAGTTCATCTGGCTTTAAGTCCCATGATTCTTTAACTTCTTAGTTTATAATTTAATTAGAATATCTCCTGCAACAGGTACCTGTACTAATTACCTGAAAATTAATTTAGTAGTTAAGTTAAACAGAAAGGATGACCCAGAGATCAATTTAAGTACTATTTAACATTTCTTGCATCAGTAGTGAACTTGCAGGTGTGAATGAATAAACACCACTCACTTAGGGTATTTAGTCAATATGTGACCCAATGTTAATGCATTAGCTAAAGCTTAACAATAAAATTCAAACACTAAAATAGAAGAGGGTAGGGTGGCCAGTCCTGAACCAAGCTTTTCCAGTATTGACAAGCCCATTCTCTCACTGAAGGTTATTGAAAGAGTAATTTGATAAAAGAAAGGGAAAAAAAAACTGTTCTGTCATATGGTCTGGTATATATATATAACTTCGCAGTAAAGGAGGTTTGGGAACAGGTGTTTTTTTTTATTA